TTAAATCAAGAGTTTCCTTGTCTTCTGTGTTGGATTCAAAATTACAAAGCTACGGACTTGAACATTGATGAACGTAAACTCAAAATTCGTTTGAGTGTTCAACATTGATTATAAAATAAAATGTAAGGCTAAGCATTTTTAAATCAACGGTAATTGAAAATAAGAACATAAGTTATGTGCTGATAAGACAAGTTAAAAGAGAAATGGTACTAATTCGTATTAATGATGGTTAATTAATTTATTTTGGTTTAGGTACCAACTGAAATAAATAAATAAACTATTTACTATGAAAAATTAATAAAGCAATGGCATAAATTCATTAAGGAGAATCACCAAATATCGCAATGATTTTATTTATGCTAATGATGCTTAATTAATTTCAGTAATAAGTTTTAATTGAAATAAAATAAGAAACGTACTAAAAAGCAAAATTATTGGGGAAAAGGTATTAATTCGTTTAGGACGGAAGTAAACAATTGAGGTTATTAACTAATTATTATTAATTTTAATCATGCCTAGTTTTGATAATAAGTACTAATTGAAATAAAAATACAAGCCAAGTACTCTATGCACTTATAAAGCAATAATAATGGAGAAAAGATGCTAATTCATTTTGAAGGAAAGTAAAAAATCGCTGTACTATTATTGACGCCAATGATACTTAATTTATTTTGGTTATAAGTTTTAACTGAAATAAAATAAGAAACGTACTAAAAAGTAAAGTTAATGGGGAAAAAGTATTAATTCGGTTAGGACGGAAATAAAAAATCGAAGTTATTTACTAATTATTATTAATTTTAATCACGCTTAATTAACTTTGATAATAAGTACTATTTGAAATAAAAATACAAGCGAAGTACTTTATGTACTTATAAAGTAAAATTAATGGAGAAAAGATGCTAATTCATTTTGAAGGAAAGTAAAAATTCGCTATACTATTATTGACGCCAATGATGCTTAAATAATTTTGGTAATAAGTTTTAACTGAAATAAAATAAGAAACGTACTAAAAAGTAAAGTTAATGGGGGAAAGTATTAATTCGTTTAGGACGGAAATAAAAAATCGAAGTTATTTACTAATTATTATTAATTTTAATCATGCTTAATTAACTTTGATAATAAGTACTAAGTGAAATAAAAATAAAAGCCAAGTACTCTATGTACTTATAAAGCAAAATTAATGGAGAAAAGATGCTAATTCATTTTGAAGGAAAGTAAAAAAACGCTATACTATTATTGACGCCAATGATGCTTAATTTATTTTGGTTATAAGTTTTAACTGAAATAAAATAAGAAACGTACTAAAAAGTAAAGTTAATGGGGAAAAGGTATTAATTCGTTTTTGAGGAAAATAAAAAATCGAAGTTATTAACAAATCATCAGGAATTTTAATCAGGCTTAATTTGTTTTGATAATAAGTACTAAGTGAAATAAAAATACAAGCCAAGTACTCTATGTACTTATAAAGCAAAATTAATGGAGAAAAGATGCTAATTCATTTTGAAGGAAAGTAAAAAATTTCTTCACTATTATTGACGCCAATGAATCTTAATTAATTTTGGCATAGCCTCTACTTGTATTAGGGTAATTGGTCTAGTTACTAGTAATTGGTACCAAATATACTAATATAGGTACAGTATTACATTTGACACCTATTAAAACTGCATCAATGCTTGAAAGCTTTGATATAAATATTTTTTTGGGATATTCTAAATTTTTTGTCTTAATTCTTTAATATATAATATAATGTATATTAATTATTTTTTATAATGTATTCATACATAACAAATTTCTGGACTAACTTATATGATTTACTTCATTATTTATTAACGCAATGTATATCACCATGTTTAAATATAAGGTCAAGACATAACTTTAATTCATAGTTTAAACTACACGATTATTCAAATAAAATGTACGGTAAAATGTCAAAATTTGCTATTTATAATTTACTTCTTAAATGTTCCTGGTAGAACATTAAATAAATATATGCGTTTAATACAGCTAAAGTTTCAAAACACGAATAAACTATTAAAGTAACGTATATTTTATATCTTTAAATCTGTTTTAAACTAAACTATTCAAAAGTCTTTATTTTATATAATAAAATATCGTGATTATTTCGAAATATACTTCGCGATAAGGTAAATTTAAGTTAGTACATTATGCAAGATTTTTAAATTGAATAGCTTAAACATAATTTCTATTTTACGACTTGATTTCAATGCGTTTTGAACATTATGGTATTTCGATGTATTAGGAGTTCACAAATAACTTTATAAATCTTAAACATTTTCCTTTTCTTCAGTCTTAGGAAAGAAAAGAAAACATACATTATGATTTAAAGAAATACGTTTATTTCACTAGAGAAAAGAATGACATTTTGAAATAACTATTTTAAGAAATAATCTCCATTTTATATTGTATCCACGAAAAATGGTTTCAAAATTTTGTGAGAAATGGTTTCATCTGCTTTGTAGTTCTTTTCACTAGAGTTTTTTAATGACGACCTTGCCTATTTATTGATTGATAAAAACTGGATATTTATAAATTTAAAAAGGAATTGCGTTTGATAAATTTTTCTACTACAATAAATAAGCGTAGAGCCGCGATGGCGCAGAGGGTAAAGTGTTCGACTTCCAATGAGGTGAACCAGGTTCGAATCCCCAGCAATGGCTGGTCGAATCGAATCCGCATCCGGCTAGCGCCGACCACATTGCTGACGTGAAATATCCTCAGTGGTAGACGGATCATGGGTTAGAGTCCCTTTGACGTCACGCTAACCGTGGGAGGTTCTCGTGATCTTCCTTTATATGTAACGCAAATGCGTATTATTAGTTCCATCAAAAAGTCCTCCACGGAGACAAATTTCCCCCAATATTTGATCCAGAAGTTCCCTTGTCTTCTGTATTGGGTTCAAAATTACAAGGCTATAGAGTTGAACACTGGTAATAGTAAGCCCAAAAAATTGGGTCTGCTGTTCAACAACGGTTATAAAATAAAATAAAATAAATAAGTTTAAGTTAACAATACACAGCGTATATATAAATCTCATTTTTGCCAAATTGATTATTTTAATAATAAACCAAAAATGTCTTGTTTCAAACAAAAAACAAAAATATAATTTAGTTGATGACATTGATATACAAAACCCATCTATGCAGGATGATGATTGCATTAATACTTTATATGAGTTTGATTTCTCCTCTTTAATTGGATACCCGCAAGTGACGTCATTGTAGGTTGATCGTGGCATTTGTGGATTAAGTAACCAATCAGGCGCGACTCATAGATCGCTTACAGGTATGCAATTAAATCTGATTTAAATCACATGATTAAGCACAATTAATTCTCGTACTTGAGTTGTCTAATTAATGATTTCACCCTAATTAATTCTCGTTCTTGTCTTGATCAGATTTTTTTAGCAGTAACTGCTCGATTTATCAATAATACCACTGATTGTTCTATACTCAGAAAATAAGTATTATCAAAACTACCAGAATATGGTAAAATGTACCGTGTTTCTGTCTCTATGAGAACACCAAAAAGCTCGTTAATTTTTACCGAAGAGCTTTGGTAATGATTTTGATAAAATTAACAATAAAATATGGTTTTACAAAATTGTGATAAAATTTGGTAAATGTGGTAAAATTTGCTACTTTTATTATGATACCTTAGAACAGTGGTCGTGAAATCCTGGGACTATGACCAGTACAGGACCGTGGATGAAATGGTACCTGGTCACCCAAGTAACACTAAATTATTTACTGTGTTGTATTTCTCTAGGTTTGTACGACTTTTTACAGACAAGTAGTTAATCGGGAACGCATAAATAGTTTGTAAAACATTTTATGTGACTTTTAAAAAAATGCTTTTTTTACTAAACCTGGCCTCGTATCCGTGTTCGAATCTCTCTTTGAGCATGGGTGTAGTTTATCTTTCTGTTCTATCTGACCATCTTGTGTTGTAGGGGTGATAATGATACATATATATGGTGGCCATGATAAAGCGATTCTTAGAGATATTTGTACATTAGACAAAACGAGGTTTTTTCTTTTTTCAAAAAAATAGAATGATGAAATATATTTCGTAATTCTAACAAAATTCGTTTCCTTAAGGAAGTAATTATTTCATCACTTTGAAGAAATTTTTGCTTGAAGCATATATCAGGCAATGGCTTAGCCTGAAGTAAAGAAAGTTTTGCTATGTATGAGATTTTCCAATTTTTACATCAATTACAAACGGAGAAATTTGTTTTCGTACACCTTATGACAAAAAATTTAGCAAGAAATTTATAACTTGTCACAGTTATTTCGGTTATTATATGTAACAATTGCACTCAAAAGTTCGTTTCACAATTTTTTTAGCAGCTATGGACATTTTTATTAAAAAACTAATATTTTTGTCCTGCTTCTTTTTGCTATAAGTTTAGAGCTAATCAATAAAATTAAACAAAATTACAAAATTATTGCTTTAAGATTTGAGAAAAATTCGTTTAAAACTAATAACAATAATAATAATATTGTCGAAACAGGCATATTATTGCACTTCTTATTTTTTACACATGGTATTATGGTTCAACTGTAACGGATACATGGTTCAATTAAAAACTTCTACTTTTTACAGATTTAAATGTTATTAAGGCATTGCGATTAACCCTAAATTAGATAGGTATTGCAGGTATTGCAGAATTTGATTTGCTATGCATTTACTTCAATCATCTAAAACTGCTCGTATCTTTCATCTATTATATGATACATTAAAAAGGATGAAATGTATAAAATGTTTGATTTCAAATCCAAGTTGGAAAAAAAAAGAAATTTTTGAAGAAATATTATACACTCTTTTTTTTCCTCCACTTGATCAGTTTCTTTCTGACAGATTAAATTAAAGACTAATACCATTGAATAAACATGAAGTTCAATTTATTCACTTCAGTTCGCTATAAATAACGTCAGCTTATATCGACTTGTGACATTTGTTAATATGCATGTGTATTTTGTTGACAGGTGCGCTCAACACAAATAAAAACATTTCGTAGATATGGAAAGATAGAAAACATGGCTTTTTCTAAAGTATTATATTACCCAAATAAAAGTGTCAAAAATCTGTCAGTTAAATTAAAACAAACTTCACGAAGCATATTTTTGAAATTCCAAAAGTATTAGAGATTTTTTTCTTACGGTAAGTATTATACTATTTTCCTTTTCCGACATCTTAAAGGTGAATCATTCATAAAAACTTAGTCTTTCATATCTCAAATGTGTAATGGAATAAAATTTACAGGTCGTAGTAATTAAACAAGAATAAACGTTTGTTTGAACCAGTTATGGAAAGTCTAGTTTAAACAAAATGAGACTAATGTGGGCTAGTTGTTAGTGGTGCATATGCAGTTGGATTTCGATAGTATGAATTTCTCGATGTCACTAAAATCTGAATTTGCTACACATTTGTTAAACTGTTATTAGAAAAGAATTCGGCCGCATATATTTTTGATGGCCCTCAATACAAAATTGAAAAATAAATTTCACAGCATAAATAGTTTTTATGCCATGCTCAAAGGTTACCAAATTTTATCACGTATTTTAAAACACCATCTTTTGTTGTTAATTGTACCAAAACAAGTGCTTTAGTAAAAATTACCGAGCTTTTTGGTGTTCTCATAAAGTCAGAAACACTGTAAATTTTACCATAATATAGTAGTTTTTACCATGTTTCTTTAGTTTTGACCATATAATTTACCATATTTTTACAGTTTTGACCAAATTTTACAACGTATTTTGAAACAATATATTTTGTTGCTAATTTTACAAAAAAAATGTGCTTTGGAAAAATTATCGAGCTTTTTGGTGTTCCCATAATGCCATAAACGCGGTAAATTTTACCATATTCTAGTAGTTTTTACCATATTCCTTTAGGTTTGACCCTACTTTTCTTCTCAGTGAAATACATACATATTTGATCTTTAGATTAAGAGTTATTCAGGTTGTTTTCTCTTTGTTTTTGTGTGCTCTACAATAAGTGAAATTGGATAATAATTTATAACCTAATCGGAATTCTAGTAACTAGGCTTTGAATACTGAAACCAAAATTTAAAAGCTATGTTTAACAGAAATTTAAATAGCACATATGTGTCCGATTTACCCTAATTGATCTTAAAAGCTGTTGTAAAACCGTGAAAAGAAATTTAAAGTCCAAGGCCAGGAACATTTTTAGTCTAAATTGGCAATTAAAGATTGGGATATTCAGAATAAATCAGAATTAATTGTATAAATTCTTACTTGCTATAAAAATGCATCACAAAAAGGCTAATTTGTAAACAGAAAAAATGTTGTGTACTTTATATTGAGAGCAATTTCTAAATTTTTTTTTCTTCAAAAATTAATGTTGTCTTGAAAACTGTTTTACAACAAAACATTGTATTATTACATATCAATTTGTATTTATACAATATATATAGTAATAATAATTGGTAGTGAAGAGGAAGTTATGATTAAAAGCATCAAAGCCTGTTGCATTGCCGAATTTAACTGAGAGAATATAGAAAGAGACAATTAGAAACACTTTGACGTCAATCATGTTGGATTTGATGTTTTTAAGCCTGTATTCCTCAATGCTTAAAAAATTTAATTTAATCGCGATTCCTAGCATGCTTTTTTTTTACTTAATTTTTCACAGGGGACTCTAAAAAAAACATCCTACATATTTATGTTGTATCTAAATAAGTAGAGAGTCATTTCAAATTAACAGACATATTATGATTTTAAATGCCTTTTATTCCAAAATTCATATTGATGGTTTTCATAGATACCATTGAGGTTTTCTACAACAGGAATGTTAGAACCGGACACAAAGTATTAGGGGCATGAAAATATAAAAAAAAACACGCATTTCCTGCTAGCTCCCCGCATTTTTTCTAAGGATTTTGAGAGGTAATAAAAACAAGACACCATAAAGAATCCAGGAAACTTTCGGAATTTTTTTCTTAATAAGTCGTTGTTCTCCCGAAATGATTGTACGCTATTTCTAAAAATAACCTTTCAATTAGGATATTGGATATTTATGGTTCTTTGTCAAATAATAAACCTTCTACTTCCTTAAGCTATGATTCGATATGGGAAGACCCCTTGTGAGACATTCTCTCTCTTTCTGTATATATATNTTGATCAGGTGGTACTAACAGCTTCATTATTTTTACTCGGCTGAAACCAGTTTGCACTTGTTTACGTTTCTGTATTAATTGGTTAATATTGTAATGTAATAGGTTAAAAATAAATACAAATAGGAAGTATATAAGAAAATCTCCTGAATGAAAACCCATTACATGTATGTTTAAATATAAAAGTATGGCCTATAAACTCGTGCAAAACATGTAATTACTAAAAAAGAAACTACAGTGCGTCTAATGATTTGATTTAATTATTACAATATACTCATAATACCTGATATAATAAATATTCCATATTTATCTATTATATCGTTCAATTTATCCAATTATCGAATTTATATTGTATATCGTCTAATTTAACCCATTGATACACGAACGTAAACAAGTGCAAACCGGTTTCAGTCGCGTAAATACAATAAAGCTGTTTTAGTATCACCTGATAATTAAGATTTTACGTAGAATTTTATTTTGCGTCTAATAATTTGGCCAGAGACTTGCGAATGATTGACATGTATTTTATGTATTTAAATTTTTCTTATCCGCACGTACCAGTTATTCCCTCTTGAGGAAAAAAATTATATGTGTAGTTAATTAAAATACAAGTTACAACGCAGACAGGTTTAGTTTGCCAGCAATAAATTTCTACCATTGCCACCATCAACAAAACCACCAATTATTCTTCCACAAAAAACATTCATTCCGCATTCGACACCATTTCAATTTCCATGTACAGCATCACGAAAGAGCGTGGAATTAATTCCCATGGCAATAACTTTCTGCAGATAGAATATTGAATATAAGAAAGGGTGGTCGTAGGGTGGGAATCATGGTATGGGGAGAAGAGAAGAAAATGTTATTGGGCTTCAGAGATCAAAAGCAACGATGAAGATTGGCAATGTGCCCACCACTCTTCTTTTTTTTTTGTTCCTACTCGGGGGCTCCTACTTTGTTGCTCATCCAGTAAACATTCCATTCGCTTCTTTTCGACTTGTGGGGGGTGGTCGAGGACCCTTGCAAAAGATGGTGCACTGGGTAGAATGCAGACTTTCTTTCCTAGTCCGAGTGTGTTGTGGAATGTATGGAATGGTCACTTCGTTTTATTTCTTATTTATTTTATTTTGTTGTTGTTGTAAAAGACACTCAAGAGGCTGTTCCGGAGAAAGTGTCGTTAAGGAGTTTCTTGTCGTTAGGGGTTGAGTCGTAACATTCCTGAAAAAGAATTTTTTTTTCTAGTTGCTTTTCTTCCTCGCGGCTTTGCTCATCTAACTGAGAAGAGTGTTTTCAGTATTAAAAGGGATTTCTTTGACATTTCTTCTTTTTTGTATCGCTTGATATCTAAATATTGGCAAACCTAAATGATATCTTGTTAGACGTTGAGTTAAAAACTGAATAAAATTTGGTGAGCACCAAATATTGAAATTTATACAAAAATGGTAAACTGCAAAATTATAATCGGAATAGTGCTGTTGCATAGCTGCAAATCATGAGAAAAGTCAAAATTAAAAAATAGAGTAAAGCATTTAAATACAAACGCTTAAGATATCATTTTAAAATCGCCTTACTTTATACATTGTAAAAAGATGGTATGGTCAAAACTAACACTATATGGCAAAATTTACAGTGTTTCTGGCTATATTTAAACTTCAAAAAGCTCGGTAACTTCAACCGAAGCGCTTTGGTAGTGATTTTTACAAAATTAATGATAAAATAATGTGTGATATAATTTGGAAATATATCGTAATTTTATCCAGATACGTTAGAGCATGTCGTAAAAACCATTTATTTAGTTTAATTTACTTTTCATTTTGTATTTTTGAATTGTATTTTTGTATTGTATTTTTGTAAGTGGCAATAGGAATTATTTTGAAGACAAGAATTTCCATGAACCGTTACCATATAAATAATTTAAATACCATATATTTTGGTATATTTTAAACTAGTTTATGTCTTTTTTTCTTTATCAAAGACGTGTTATGGTAATTTTAAAATTATTTTTCTGCCGTGTAAAATACCATTATCATAATCAGTATTTCGGAACAGACAATATTTGCTGTTATGTCAAAAAAAAGAGAAAGAAACTGCAGAGCCAACGCAAGTGTGCATTTCGTTAACACACAGCTTATTTCAAAAAGTAGTTTTTCAAGAATCGTTCGAATCGATATCTAAACCAAATGAGTGTGAAATATTCCTTTTAGTTTATTATGTAATCAGTAAATGTACTTTGAGAAAACAAAGATTTTTTGAAAAGAAAAATGAAAGAGTTGTTTCCCTTTAAAGCTTCTAATATATCAAAGAGCAAAAAATATTTCTAACTATCTTTGTAAATATTCTATATTCGTGCTATGTAATGGTGATATTATTTAACGTTTTGAGTTCATGTAAAATTATAGGCAAATGTCACGCACTTTTTCCAATTATGCATAAATTATGAATGAATCTATATATTTGTTTTTTTAATGTTACCTTTTATTTGCATTGAAGTTGATTTAAAAACAAATACTAAACACAATCAGAGGAAGAATGGATACAAAATAGCAACCTACGTGATAAATTTTTTTTCTTCAATTAAGTAATAAAATATTTATACAATTTTGTCTATATCGATTTAGTTGAGCAGACATTAATCATTTGAAATAAAAATTTTAGTAAGAAAATTTAAAGAAAGGAAGAAAAAAATATTGTTAGAGAATAGTAGTTGAGAAACTAAAAATAAAAAATAAATATATATGAAACAATTTTGTTAGTTTACAAATTTCTATCTTTATAAATATTTGTAAAGTACAGAGTTATGAAAAATCTTTGGAATATATTAATCAAAACAAAGGAATTTTTAGATACTATCCTTCTAAATTGCAAATACTAACCTTTTTATTAAGAAAGACAAAATAGAATTGTATAATTACAGCACTTATTTACTGCCGAAAATGCCCTTCTTCTGTGGGAAGTATAGAAATTTACGATGCTTACAAATATAAATATAATAATTTTTCATGATTTGTAATTGAATAATTATTTT